ATATATATATATATATATATATATATATATATATACGTATATCATATGTGTAAATATATGCACTGCACTTAAATGTACATGCATTCCATTTCACGCTTTTATGGATGGTAGTCTGACCCCAGTGCGCTTTTGCATCGTATGGGTTAAATGATTGTTAATACAAGTTCTAATGGTTGTAGCGAATTGCTGTTTGACTTCCTTTTCGAATTTATCTGCTTCATTATTTTGTAGTCCTTCCACCACTAAACTCCAATTTTTACTGCTTTGTTGAATCGCTGCTGCCCTGCCGAAAGATCGGGACGCGGTCGTCCTCTTTGTTTGCAGATACACTGCTCTTTGATTTGCATTGTTTTTGTCTTGCCATGCAAAGACGGATATTTTGTCTCTCTAACAGTTGCAGTTGGGTGAAGAGGGAGAATAAATGACTGTTTGTCTGCCTAGCAGTTACAGTTTGGTGTAAAGTAACTTCAAGCGTACCTTAAAATACTGCTGACGTCTTATCCTCTAGCTCAGACTGATCTCACAAGCAATCAGCAGATACAGCCTCAAGCCTTCCATAACTGTATAGCGAAGCACGAATTACAAATTTCTGCTTCTCCTGTAAAGCCAGAGAAATAAATAGTAATCGTATTGAAAAGCAGAAAAGGAATACAAGTTTGGGCTTGTTGGTGCACTGATCTTCACCTTCACGCACATTTTAATGTTCGCTTGCACCCCCTGGCTTTGCGAAATTGCTGCACTTATTATTATAATTGTTGCTTGTCTCCGTTCATTCACAGTGTCGTATTCAACTGTGGCCTTTGGTACATATATATATAGCCATAATTATATGCATAGTTATTATTCATAGTATATAAGGCAACATTCTATCACTTTAAATGCAAATATCATCCCCTTGCAACCTATATATATTATATATATATGTATATTTATGTATAGGCATGTCCATAAACATATGTTAACATGTTATATATATTATGTGAGACATTATTCTCCCACTGTTAGTGCAAATATTAGGCAGATAAAACCTGAACAAAGCCTACAAAGACGGGAAAACTACACCTAAGGAGAATCGCCGACGAAAAAATACATGAAGAAGGCAGCAGCAGCTGCTCGTTCTTCCTTGCTGTTTTCGCTGGTGTTGTATTGCGCATTTGATCACCTGGATTTCGTTTGCGAACAGGTTTATTCCTTACTCTAATTTTATTCTTATTTTCCTCGTTTCCCACTGTGCAGTGGCGCTTCTGACACCCGCTACAGGGAAGTCGATATATTGGTGCGTTCAGTTGTTGTGCATGGAATCAATTAAGAATTAAGCGAATCCAGCACACGAGCTCCTTCGTCTTAGAGCAGTGTAGCAGTACGCGAAGAGGTTGAGATAAGCGACAGGAAGAGGCACTAGAGGTGCCTATACAAATGAGACAAAGAAAGACTTTGTGATCATCCGATTAGAGACGCGGGCTGCATTTAAAAGAAGCCAACCTCAAAGCTGCTTCCAGCAAGAGAGACCATAGGGCGACTGTAGCAGATTCTGTTTGCAGCTGTGTATTTGTATTGCGTGTGCGACGGGAGGCTACAAACGGCTGTATAAGAGCGTCGGTGCATAAATAAGAGGGACCTGAATGCACTTCCATGTACTTCTGCTCCTCTCTTTGCCTTGAACATTACTTACAACGAGATGCGAAGCAATCTACGAGAGAGAGGTTCCTCTCCGCATCAGCATTAACCTTACGCCTGTCTGCTGCTGTACCCAGCACGCCCGATGACAGGAGGAAGTCTTGCAAAATGCTGCCGATATATATTAATATTTAAATTTCGCTCAACTCTGCTGCATCTCACAAAGAACCTCTGCTAATATGAAGGATTGTCTTTATAGCTGAGATCAGGCAGGAGGCGGCTGACGCACCTGCTGCGCATATCCACAGTACATTATGCTTGACTTAATAGCACATACCTACGTAAAGCTTACAGCTAAACTTGTGCCACAAACTACCACACATTAGATGCACAACTCTTATTTAACATTTCTAAGCGCTAGCTGCACAGCTGGTATAAAACAGATGTGAACACCTACTTGTACACATTGGCTATGCAGATTGCACTGGAAACGTGTATATCAGCAAAACGTCATAATGCGTGTCCCATGGAGAAACATCCACTCCCGTTTCTCCCTTTTCTCCCTTTTCAACACAGCTTTCAGCTCTAACTTGCGCTGGAAGATGGCTCTGCATCGCTGCAGTACTTACATCTGCTGTTCTTGCCGTGGTCGCCTCCTGCATTCATTCTAACGGCGCTGCTATACAGCTCGCATATTCAAGTTATATATTTCCAATGCAACAGCAACCGCGAAACAAGGGGGGAAATATGATGCAAGATATGTGGGTTGCTCCCTGGTTCGGTTGACACTTTTGCGCTGTACCTCCTGCACGGTACATATACAAGGGCATTGTAAGAAGCAACTAACATGCACGCATTCAGTTGAACGAGAAGAAACCCCTATATTGAAATAAGTAATAAGGAGGAAACAGCAAGTACATAGGAGACGCCTCCCGTGCAGCAGCGAGCAGTTAGTTCGTGGGCCCTGCTAAGCAGATTCCCGTAACAGGGCCCTCAGGCACAAGTTGTGCGTTTCCTTTTGTCTTCTGTTCAATAAATCGCTTTCTTAGGAGATAGACAAAGAATCTGATGGACCTGAGACGTTCATAGAGAGCTAATAAAGATTAAATGCCCCCTAATAGCTGCTCATATTTACACGTAAAACAGCAAGAAACACGTGGGGGCGCAGCTAAGTAGGAAGCGATGCTGTTGTGAGTTGAGGCAGCGCTGGAGGTTGGCCGCTGTTTCTCGTTCATTGCTCTTATATGCAGTGCAGTGGAGGGATTGATGCATGCTTTTTCTGTTTTCTTTTGTTTGAACAGTTTGTTTTGAGAACAATTTTTTCCTTTTCCGTCGAATCAGCTGGCTTCCTCCTTCGGATGGGGGCTCTGCCCGCGATCGTGCGGCAGCCTTCTTTATTTGGGGTGTATCGACGGCAGCAAAGCGATCTTGAGATTGTTATTGAGATATTTCTGAACAGTTTATTCGGATTGGTGTTTTTGTGGCGCGTTTCCTCGGTTGAGCCGAGGCGCACTGCCGTATTCGACTCGCTGTTTGGTCTTTTGTTCCCAGTTTCCGTACGATGATGAGGGGTCTTATTGGTTTGTCGTTTGTCTTTTGCGTTTCTTTTTTATGCGCATTCGCTCGCCATGCTGCTGCTGAGGGCTCAGGCGGCTCAGCCTTGCCTGAGCTCCCCGGAACGGACCCCGACGCCGATGCAGAGTTTCGTGGGCGGTATCAAACAGGCACTTCTTCTTGGAAGCCCGGATACCTTTTGGAATTGCGTGGCTTGCGGGAGCATTGGCGTGATAGAGCTCATGTGCATTTCTATGGACGCACCTGCGGGCACAACCACCCGCGTCGGCGACAGGTAGTCATGCGTTTGGGGGCCCTTGACTTGAACAGTGTGTTAGCAACGGACAGTTCCCAGCTTTCCTTTCTGCTGTACACACGCTGGCTCATTGAGGCATACTGGCGGCGTATAGTGCCCCACTACTTCCTGGAGCCTGCTCCTATCTTTGTGGTTGATTTTGATGGCTTGGGGTGGCGTGCAGCCATTTCAAACATGATGCGGATTCAAAGTATTATTAAGAAAGTAAATTCTGCTTTCCACAGCATCACAGGAAAAGGATGGGCCCGCGCTTTCATTTTAAATCCCCCATCTTGCTTCAGCACTATTTGGAATACAGTTGTATCTGTCGTCAGCTTCCGCGCCCGTGGCGTCGTCATAGTAAAAGACGCAGAAACGACAAGGGAGCTGATCAAGACTGTGGGGGCAGATTGCCTCTGGAAAGGATTCGGGGGACGATCCCAACTCGCGATGGGATCGGGAGTGGTAGAGGAAGCCTTAGATGCTTTCGGTCGTGCTTCTGATGATGCTGTTTTAGACCCCGACGCTTTCCGTCTACCGAGAGAGGCAGAGGACTTTCCTTCACTTGAGGACTTGGAGCAGCTGATACAGAAGGAAGCAGCAGCAGCAGCAGCAGCAGCAGCAGCAGCAGCAGCAGCCAGTGCTTTGACAAACCCAGAGGCAGCAACAGCTGCTGCGGCAGCACTAGAGGCGGCAATGGCTGTGGCAGCAGATACCGCACCACCAGAGGCAGCAGCAGCTGCTGTTGCTGATTTTGCTGCAGCAGCAGCAGCAGCAGCAGCAGCAGCACTCGAGTCACCGGGGAAACCATCTGCCGATGGAGAAGCAGAAGACAGCGGCGACGAGAGATCGACTACAGCGGGTTCAGATGACGAGAACGACCAGTAAAAAATATCTAGCTATTCAGTTTTTCGCTGCTGTTGCCGCTGCTGCTGCTGCTGCTGACGCTGCTGCTGCTGACGCTGCTGCTCCCTCTGCTTCGCATTGGCGAGGAGGCGTGCAGGTGGGAACTACGAGCTGCGGCGGGCAGGGAGGGAAGCGACCTACTCCAGCAATAATGATAAAAGGGAAAAAAGGAAAAGGGAATACCTTTATGCAGACCGTTTCAGAGGCTCCCCCTGTTGCTGCTGCACACAGCAGCGAAGGATGAGGCGGAGGCCCCGGGGCCCCTACAGCAGCAGAAGCAACGCAAAGAGTTAGCAAATGACAGCGGCCACGTGCATGCGGTAGAAGGAATGTGTGCAGGCTGGGCCTGCTGAGGTTCGGGTGTACGCATGCAGCTGCGTGCATGCGCATGCAAATGCATGCCGAGAGTACAGACGAAAATGTCTGGCTGCTTGCATCTGCGTGCTCCTTTTTCATAGTAAATTTGTACCAGCACGTGGAAGCGTAGCGATTTGTTGCGGTGGAGGCGAAAGAAAATTAAATAGAATGCAGACTGAACCGCTGGGGGAGCAAGTGTGCCTTCTCCTGTGGCTGCGGTGTACCGACAGCTCTTTGGCCTTTTTGTTTTCGACGGAGAGAGTGAGAGGCGCAGCTGTTAAAACGCTCAACGGGGGATATTCAGAGCTCTAAAGGTAACAGCAGCAAACAGCAGCAGCAGGCAGCAGCAGTAAACAGCAGCAGCACGCAGCAGCAGTAACTGCAGTAGATATTACCGCAACGCCGACAGGAACTCTGTACGAACGAGCATAGAAGCAGAGGAACAGATTAAGAAAGAACAAACAAAATTAGGGGCATGCACTAGGGGCATGCAATATGATAATAATACTGAGGACGGGCACAAGTCTGGTAGTAAACAGGAAAGATGAAACCAGAGAAAGATCAGAACAGGCAGACAAACACAGAAATAGAAAAGACAGTGGAGTATAAAACAAGCAAACACGAAAAGCAATGACGCACTGAGGCCTCTGCATGCAGCAGCTGCATGCATGCAGTAGCTGCATATTGATGCAGCAAAAGTAAAGAGGCATACACGGAAGAGACTGACAGTGAAAGTGAAGCCAGAAAGAGGGAGAGACGAAATAACGAAAAGGCGAGATGGAAGAATAAGGAGGAGAGAAAACAGAGAGGCAGTCGTAAGCTACAGAGATGCTGCCTGGTGGACGGGCATGCGTCTTCTACATAGAGCATAGCATAAGGGAATAATAAATAACTAAGTAAATAAATTATATATACTATAAATAATGTAAACTATATATTACATATACTGCCTCGCGCAGCCATAGGAGCAGAGCTGCATCTGTAATTAAAAAAAATGGTATGCGGTTTGTAAGCCGTTGAAAAGAGTTTATAGGAGACATGCCGAGGTGAGCTGTACGTACACCTGAGGTGTATGTACACCTCAACGCAGGCAATTAGTCTTCAGGCACAGTGAGAGGAACTGCGCCCTCTTCAGTTACGAGAAGAGTGTGCTCCTGGAGCCACACAGTAGCAGTAAAGACAGAGACACAAAAATATATATAAAGAGACGCAACAAACAAAGACAGCGAAGATATATATTAATGCACGGACGCACAAAACGCCAGCTGCAGCAGCTGCGGTGCTTGTATTAGAGGGAGCAGAGATTTAGCAGAACAGCAGCAGCAGCGGCAGCAGCAGGTGGATCAGCAGCAGCAGCAGCAGCAGCAGCAGTAAGAAGTCTGACGAATTGAGCGCAACGGCCGCAGTCCTGTGTAACGACAGTCCATCCATCGCTCCAGCAGCGGATGTCTCCGCTGCCTTCGGTAAGAATAGGTTCTGCAGAGGACAGAGAAGAAGAAAATAAACAAACTTTTGTTATTTTTGCTTGTTTTCGTTTGATTGCCTCTACGCAACAAAACAGGCCAAATCCATGCAAGGGTGCTGTTCATATAAACAAATATACAGTATTACTTGCACAAAAGAATTTGTTTACAAACAAACAATTAAGAAGAAAAAGAGAAAGATACGCGAGACAGAAGAAGGTGATGAAGACAACTTCCATCGAACCGATACAGACAAGCACACCCTGTTTATATTAATACTATTATTATAAATAAATAAATTTATTTTATCATTATTACTATTATTGTTCATTTGCTTAGCGGATTATTTAACAGAGAACTGAACATAAAGAACATCATCTCGTTTGTGTTTGCAGTGCTTTTAAAGTGAATGTATTTAAACTACTGTATTATTGTTTATTCTATTTACTCTATTTTGTATGCATTTTATTTGTTGTATTTGTTTGCCGCCTGCATTAATGCCATTCATCACGTCTACAAAATAATAGTTTATCTTTTTACATTATTATTCCTTTGACTTTCTTTTTAGGCTTATAGACAGAAAACTATAGAAGAATATTTTCTGCTTTTCTTTGTGCACACTGTTCAATGCGTTTTATTTACACAATATAAAGTATGTATTTATAACTTAATTAAACAAATTAAACTAATTAAACAAGAACACAAATACAAGAAAAAGCATGAAAAATAAATGCAATTAAAATGATACCAATGGTGAAAGTCTGCCCAACACGAAATACCGCCGTCGCGTCGTTTGCTGCACATATAAACAGCAGAATATAAATAAATATATATATGTATTAATATATATATATATATATAAGTATATATGCGTATATGTGGTGTGCATACTGTATGCATGGTATCGGAGACGAGAAATACAAAAGGTGAATAAACATAAAAATATGCCATTGTGCATTTTTACGGCAATGCATACATATACATATACAGATACAGATATACATAAATATACATATATACATATACATATACATATATATATATATATATATATATATATAGAGAGAGAGAGAGAGAGAGAGAGAGAGA